AAATTCAGTAAATTCACTGTTTGATTTTACAGCAGTAAATTCAGTAAATTCACTGTTTGATTTTACAGCAGTAAATTCAGTAAATTTTACAGCTGCAGCTCTGACAGCCCAACAGCAGCAGCTCTGCCCCGTGTCAAAACTTCTCTCTCAGCTCGGGGAAGGAAAATCTGAGATATGGGGTGAGAGTGGGGTTTTGCCTGCTGAGAAATCCCATTTTGCCTTTCCCAGGTCCCTTCCTGCCAGGCTGGGGGATGGACAGGTCAGGGCACCCGGCTCCGTGTGCTGCAGAGCCTGGAATTCATGGGAATGGGAAATGTGGGGTTTGGGGTTTTTGGGAGCTCCAGAGCTGTGTTATAGATGGGACAGGGAAATGTGGGGTTTGGGGTTTTATGGGGAGCTCCAGAACTGTTTTATGGACTTACAGTTCAGGGAAATGTGGGGTTTGGGGCTTTTGGGAAGAGCTCCAGAGCTGTGTTATAGGTGGGTCAGGGAAATGAGGGATTTGGGGCTTTTTTTGGGAGCTCCAGAGCTGTGTTATAGATGGGACAGGGAAATGCGGGGTTTGGGGTTCCAGAGCTGTGTTATAGATTCACAGTTCAGGGAATTGTGGGGTTTGGGGTTTTGGGGATCTCCAGCACTGTGTTATTGATAGGGCACCTGGCTCCGTGTGCTCCAGAGCCTGGAATTCATGGGACAGGGAAATGTGGAGTTTGGGGTTTTTATGGGAGCTCCAGAGCTGTGTTATAGGTTCACAGTTCAGGGAATTGTGGGGTTTGGGGTTTTGGGGGGATCTCCAGCACTGTGTTATTGATAGGGAACCTGGCTCCGTGTGCTGCAGAGCCTGGAATTCACTGTTCAGGGAATTGTGGGGTTTGGGGTTTTTGGGGGATCTCCAGAGCTGTGTTATAGATTCACAGTTCAGGGAAATGTGGGGTTTGGGGTTTTTTTGGGGAACTCCAGAGCTGTGTTATAGATGGGACAGGGAAATGTGGGGTTTGGGGTTCCAGAGCTGTGTTATAGGTTCACAGTTCAGGGAAATGTGGGGTTTTGAGGTTTTATGGGAGCTCCAGAGCTGTGTTATAGTTGGGACAGGGAATTGTGGGGTTTGGGGTTTTATGGGAGCTCCAGAGCTGTGTTATAGGTTCACAGTTCAGGGAAATGTGGGGTTTGGGGTTCCAGAGCTGTGTTATAGGTTCACAGTTCAAGGAAATGTGGGGTTTGGGGTTTTTGGGAGATCTCCAGTGCTGTGTTATAGGTTCATAGGTCAGGGAAATGAGGGATTTAGGGTTTTTGTGGGATCTCCAGAGCTGTGTTATTGATAGGGAACCCGGCTCTGTGTGCTGCAGAGCCTGGAATTTATGGGCAGGGAAATGTGGGGTTTGGGGGTTTTGTGGGAGCTCCAGAGCTGTGTTATAGATGGGACAGGGAAATGTGGGGTTTGGGGTTCCAGAGCTGTGTTATAGGTTCACAGTTCAGGGAATTGTGGGGTTTGGGGTTTTTTGGGGGATCTCCAGAGCTGTGTTATTGATAGGGCACCTGGCTCTGTGTGCTGCAGAGCCTGGAATTCATGGGGCAGGAAAATATGGGGTTTGGGGTTTTATGGGACCTCCAGAGCTGTGTTATAGGTTCACAGTTCAGGGAAATGTCAGGTTTGGGGTTTTTGTGGCAGCTCCAGAGCCTGGCATTCACTGTTCAGGGAAATGTGGGGTTTTGGGGTTTTGGGAGGAGCTCCAGAGCTGTGTTATAGATGGGACAGGGAA